GGGAAAGAGAGAAGCTCTCGATGGGATAGATGTCGAATATAAAGAGCTGCTGCAACTGAGGGAAAAACAGGTGGGCCGGGAAGAGGGGTAAATCACATTTAAATGGCTCTGGGCCAGATCAAACTTGAAGTGGAGGCCCAAGTGTGGAGTTGGAGGGGTTCGTTGCTATGACGCTTCGCCGTCTTGGCAATGCGGATGTTTCCACCATGCACCCTATTCATCCGATTTGTTTCTTCCGAGGGGCGGGATCTCCCCAACCGCAGCTGGGAGATCAAGCACGATACACGAGTGGTGCGGATATAAAAATGAAGCAGCGGAAGAAGAAAAATCCTAATTTTTTTTCACGAAGATATCCCGGTACATTCAATGTTTAGCCATCACCGGGTACCACGCACAGCGCATCACTCGGTCCGTTGCCGCAAGGTGAGAAAAGAGCTTTCCTTGCAGAATCAAAACGATGGATGCGCTACAAGAACAAAAAGCTCTGGTGGATTCTCCGTTCGCTCAGCTAACACTAGCGGGATAGTTACATTTGGACTTACAGCTCAAGCTTTGACGCTAGAAGCCGCACCCCTGTCCACTTCACGAGCTATACACGTGGTCAGGGTGGAAGCACAGCTCAATTGCAGAATGGAGGAAGGTGGGTTTCTAGGTCGACGATGGTCGCAAAGTTAGCTCTCAAGCTTTCTCTTTTGATGGAGATTAGGGGGGTCCTCTTTCCAATTGTAGCTCTAGAAGCGTCCATCGAGCACAGGCAGAGCTTTGGATATATTCGCCGAATAGGGAGCTGGGGTTCCTCAACGTTCTTGGTGACGGTGGTATTTGGTGCTAGGGTTCATGGCCGAGAGTTTCTTTCCGATGGAGGTCCGAGAAGTGAGAAACACTGCTCTACTGCCCCTTGAATTAGGTTGACAGCGCTAAGGGTACTAATTTTTAACTAATTCTTGGCAAAAGCTTTGCTTCAAAGGGAATCTGGAAATATAATCATTTCCAGAACTAAACAACACTGGAAACCGGAGGCTGGTTGGTGGACTGCGCAACCCGTGTTGATGATTGGGAATGGAATTGAAACAAAGGGAAGGATGGGCGCCCACTCCCACGGTATATATACACCCTATACCCACACATCACGTTGCCCTCCATACGATATTCACATCGTTGCCTTAAACTTATTATCTCGTGTCCCCCGATCCAGTCACACGTAACCAACAACACCGGCCAGAAATACGCGCTAGTGTGACGAAAAAGCTTAAAGAGACTTCGGGTCTCAGTGATGAAACCACATGTACTAGGACTACGCAATCGCTTCTATGCCGATAAAGTAACTGAGCCAGAGAATCTCGGGCTAATTACTTCATTCTTACTGTGATTTCTTCAAAAGAGCGGGCATTTTCTTAGGAAAGTTGACTGCAGACGATCGAAGGGGTAAATAGCTAGGAGAATTCGCATTGTAATTGAACGAGATTAGAAGATTCATTTCACTGTTCTGGTATATATCAGAATCATATCATGACTAACTCGCCTACCGAAGATATATTTCACAGAACCTTATTTTTTGCGGCGTAGGCAAATACAAATATCCCGTGACACATGAGCAGGATGTCTTTGTACGATCAAGAAATGTTTTAATATGCCTTCCGCATGTTTCACAATATCTTGACAGCTCCGGTATGATCTCCAAGAAGCTTAAACCGCGGATCTTCCCACCCGGCTTTTCAGCCTCCACCTCTACACTCCGGTGCCACAACCAGATATTCTGGCTCTCCGTCGGGGACAACTGGGAGTTATATACCGGAGCGTTGACTCACCCTTAGGCTAACATGCCCTCAAACGGTCCCATCTATCTTCTTGGCAAGATAAGCTCTCAACAGATCTCTCAACATCGTCCTACTTCCATTCCGCATCTTCCCGAGAAAGAACGCAAGCAAGATAAAAAAAAACCCCATTCTTTACGACATAACCCGCAAAGATACGAGTGATTACTGATGACCAGGCTACCCTCGACACAATCAGGCTGATATCGCCACAGGCAGCTCCATCCGGGCACGGAAACATCATAGATAGCAAGTACAGCAACAACAACAAGTATGTAGCTTTGTGGACTGACCGTATGATGAAACGGCGAAAATTTCTTCCTTGGTTATGATAGCGAACGGGCCATGTCGTTCATTTCATTCCCTAGCTATAGGCCGCGCGGGCTGGGGTGCTCCCTGCTGAGTGAGGTCTTTTCGCAAAAAGAAAAAAAGATTTTTCTTTCTTTCTTTGTAGAGAGTTGGAGGTTTGTGTTGGGTTTGGAAACCTCAGGCGGGCATCACATGTTTATCCCCCCTTTTCAAAATAAAAAATCTATCAATATATCCCAGCTGCAGACCCGTGTCCTGGGTATAGCTAGACAGGTACAAGGAATACCTAGGTAGCGGTAGGTACGCATACCCGAGGGACGCTGTTCGGGCGTAAGGCTTGTTGCATGTTTAATTCGGTCGATCATGCCACAATGCGAAGTGCTAGGCTACCTACGCACGGGAGTAAGCGAAACGGCCGGGTCTGTCGGAGGTTAGGAGAATTTAACTGAGTCGAGCAGCTGGGCAGATCAGATCAGGGCCAAGGTAGCACAGACAGCTCCGAACGCCGGTATACGTTTGTGTGGAAACCTTAATGTGACCTGGAATTTGAAGAGTGACGGATTAGGAGTTTGGGATTCAGGTATTGAGATTTTCGTATTGATGGTTTTTTTTTTTGCTGCACGCCGGTGCTATCTCTGATCGATGCCATGTCTATTCCGGTGATTGTTTGATGCTAGCTAGGTCCACGCCTAGCTGCTCTCCCGCCATGGTGCCATCCTTCGCGCATGTCGCATGAGAAAACATTCCAACTTCCCGCCTTCTCCTCCTCCTCCTCCAATGTTATTCTAGCCCCTCCAGCAGCAGCACTGGTTCGAGGTTAGCCATGTGGCCATGGTTTATGGGAGTTCCGGGGAATTTAATCCATGGTGAGTGTGCTCTCTCGTCTGTATGGCTGCAATCTATCTGAGCTGATCATGGAGGCCCCAGCTCAGCCCCGGGACTGCGCGTGATGGAATAATCCCTCATTATGCTTTGGGATAGCATTGCTGGTTCTGTGCTTGTAATGTTCCGGAGTATTTTCGAGTGACTGCTGGAGACCAGATCAGTTGTGGTGTCTTGAAGGTGGGTAGAGCTGGAGTACCATTGGGTTTTGGGTGTTTGGGTCTAGCTGTGCCAGATGCCTTGACTCTTGGTGGGAGGTCGTCTGAAGTGTAAGTTGGGCGATCTGAGATTGAGAGTCTTCATCGTCCCAGCTCCTCTTTCGGTAACGGATGTCGTCGTGATTTCAACTTCGTGTTGCATGTCATCTCAATTGCAAACTTACTCCCAGAAAGATCCAGACATAGTGACTAGAGGGACTTCATCTATCTCACTCCCCAAAACCACCACCCACTCCTCGCTAAATCTCGGCAAATAGTCTACTCTCTCTCCTCATTTAGCTCTATAGCTAACCACCAGCCAAGTAGCTCGGATCCGCCGTTCCGCTAATTGTAATATCATATATCCCGATTAACCTCGACCTCGACCTAGGCCTCCGAAAACCTACCCTAGGCCGCACACCCGGAGTCGATCATTTACTAGCTAGCTAGCTGCCAACGTAAATCCAGCGATCAACTCTGTTGGCCTCGTGGGTAATTTGAATTACTATACCACCTCGGTGCTCCGATATAAGGACCTAGAAGTATACTACTGGGAAGTTTTGACCCGACGCTACGCCGTGCGCAAGGCAATTGATAGCTGCCGCATATAAAGACTGCCAATTAGGGGTAATTGATCCCATTTCACTCAGTATATGATCATGAGTTCGAGTGTTTTGAGTAGAGTAGTTGTTCGACGTCGGCGACTCTAGCTTCTAGCAGAGAGGTTTGGACTCTAAGATCATTAGTGTGTTTTGCAGTCTTTGCAATTGCTATCTGATATTAGTACTGTGTCCGGACAACGAGTTTGGTTGTCTTGATAATACGTGTTTATTTACAACGTCTTTGTTCACTCTAAATTTAAAAGGAGCTTGTTCTTCTGCTCTTGTTAATCATCAATCATACAATACGAATCTCTTCAGTCTCTTTTGTAAAACTGCACTCTGAATAACAATTAGCTAGCTAGCTAGCTAGTACTCAAGACCGCTCGAGGGAGCCCATAGCAGCTCTAAAACCCCTCTCTACCATCTAGACTCCCCAGACACGGAGCTCCCAGCTACAAGCCTACCATATATGATGACTATTCACACCTCGGCGCGGCCCCCAGCCACAAAAGAGGCAACAACGGGCGCATCCTTCCTTATCAGTCAGACACTCAGAGACACTCCCAACTGACGTGCAGCAACCATCAACCAGGATAAGCAAACCCAACAGCTCCGGCCAGCCAGATATAGCTCCCCCACACGAGAGCTCCGTTAATTCCTTCGGGCCTCCGAGTTGCTGCTGCTGTCTCCTGACGGGTCTTTCTCGTACGTCCCCCCCCCCCCCCCGTACGTACCGTTGCACCCGTGGACTGCGGTGCGTGGGCAGGAGGAATCGAGTGAGGTCACTCCACATACATGGTCAGCGCGAGATTGTGTCCCGGATTAATTTCGTATATGCGGGCGGATTAATTTTTTTCTTGTTTCGGCGGCGCACGGCGGGCCTGTTGTATAAAGGTTGCTTTATTCGCACCGGGAGCAGAGAGTATTATTCTTCAGCAATTGTGTTCTACAGTATTACAGCAGCAGCAACAGCAATATATTCTACCGCAGATTAGATCATAGAGCTAGATCTACCATAGAGCTTTTTACCTATATCCGATTCTTCAGTTTTTTTTTTACACTACCTCACGCTCGACTTTAAGTCTTTACAAGCTATATACCCACCGCAATATCACTCATAGAAGAACATTGAGGATATCATTACCACCTACAACCTACCTTTTCTACCTCCTACAATCCACACACACTCAAAAGCCATGTCTTCAATACCCACGCCCTCCTGCCTGTCCACGCTTCCCCCCGAGCTCCTCACCAGCGTCCTCTCGCACCTCTTCACAAAAGACCTCGTGCACGCCTCCAGCGTCAACCACGCCATCCACGACTGCGCCGACTACCTCCTGCGCCAGCGCATCCGGCACATCCCCGAGCTCGACGGGCACGCCATGGTAATCGAATGCTCGCCGCCCAGCAACCGCGTAAGCCCTCTCCCTCTCTCTTCCACCGGTCCATTCATTAGCTAACATGTCAATTCTCCAGTTCACGGCGCCCTACCACCCCTGCAAACACACGAGCACGCACCCCAGCACCGCAACCCTCACCGCCAACACGCCGACGCCCACGCTCCCGATCCCCGCGGGGACCAGCCCCAGCAGCGTCTTCTCGCACTTCACGCCGCACCCGCAGACGCGCACCGACGTTGTTCTCGAGGCCGGCGAGTTCTTCACGCAGCTGTGCGCGAGCAGCTTCCTCGCCAAGGTTGCGAGCGTGCGGCCCGTGTTCAGCGAGACGTTCTTCCGGGTGCGCAGGTCGTGGCTGCTGGAGGGCGTCAAGTGTGCCGAGGGCAGGATGGTGTGGTTGGATGAGAGGGGGAATCTTGGGTTAAGGTTGAAGGTGGAGGGGGAGGCGGCGGCGGGGGAGGAGGAGGAGGTGCAGTTTGGGGTGGTGGTGGAGGAGGTGGTGGTACGGAGCGGGTATTTGGTGGAGGTTGTGGAGGGGGTGTTTTAGCTTGGTGGTTAGCGTTGGGAATTCAATTGGACTGTGCGGGTGAGAGGTTGTGATTGGGGGAGTAATAGAGCTAGAGGTTGTCAGTTTTTTTCTTCTTTTTTTGATATTTTCTTTTGTAGACTATTTCTTGTTAGCTTTTCTCTCTTTTGGGTTGTGGTTTTTTTTTTTCCTTTGTCTGGAGCAGGGTTTTTGGGTTATATTGGGGATCAAACGAATAGTATATACAGCCGGTACGAAGAATACCTAGAGTAATGATATATTTTACACGAAAACCTTCGTCCTTCTAGTTAGCACTCCTCTAACCTCCCCATGCCATCCCTCTACTCCGCCTACTTCTTCAACGCCCTCTGCACCGCGCCCGCCACATCCCCCTGCACCACGGGCCGTCCCTCCAGCTGGTTCATGACCGCCTTCATGACCTCCCCCATCTTGCCCACGCCGCCCTCCAGCACCTTCTTCACGACGCCCTCAATCTCGTCCAGCCCCACCTTCTCCACCTGCGCGGCATAGGCCTTCAGCACCTCGATCTGGCCAGCCTCCTTGGCCGCCAGGTCGTCGCGGCCGGCGCTCTGGAACTCGTTAAGGCTGGCGAGCGACTTGTCGAGCGTCTTGGTGATGATGGCGAGGAGGTGGATGTCGGTGGTTGGCGGGGCGGGCGTTTTGCTGGCGTTGGAGATCTCGGCGATGAGTGACTAGACGGGAGGGGTTAGTGTGTGCGGGGAGGGGAGGGGAAGGGAGGGAGGGAGGGGGGGGGGAGAAGTACGCGGCAGACGTTGAGCCTAGGAGAGAGGGGGGGTTATGTTAGCGGGTGCGGAAGCGGGAGAGGAGCGGGTGCGGGGGGGGGAGGCGGGAGACGCACTTGTTTGTGTCTTTTGCGCGCATGGCGTCTTTCATGTCGCATCTGTTGGAGGGGAGAGTTAGTCTGACTGTTCCGATCAAATCTCTTCTTGTAGTTGTCTCATGATAGTAGCCCATGTATATGCATTGCCACTGCCACTGCCACTGCCATTGCCATTGATCCCACCAAGGCCCGGGCCTCAATTGCAATCGTAGAGAGTCGTAAACCAGAGAGTCCTAGAGCACAAACCTAATCTTGCCCAACAACGGCGGCGACGACGACTGCGCCGGCGTCGAGTAGAGCCTCTGCGCCGCCGCCGCCGCGGCTCTGCGGAATAGCGTTCGTGCAAGCATCTCTTTCTTGTGTCGGAGAATTGAATTCCAAGGTCGGGTGCTTCGAAATGAGTCGGGTGACGTTCGGCGCTGCTTGCGGGTGTGAAAATTCCAAAATCAGCCCACGGGGGCCCGGAGGGTTAGGGTTAGCGACAGACAGGGGTTCGGTTGGCGACGTCAGCCGCGTCCCGATGCGGGAAGGGCTGGCTGCCGGTGTGTGTGTCAGCGAGTGAGGTTGAGGTTGAGGTTGAGGTTGCTATTCTCGACCACAGCTACAGGCAAGACTGCGACTCTGCTGCGACTCTGCTGCTACAACCGCTACTCTTCTATTCTGCACTGCGATATCAGACATCACGAACAATATACACAACCCCCCCTCACCCTCACCCTCACAAACAATCACACACACAGCCAGACCTGCCCGCACAATGGCCTCCTCAGCACACATGAACCCCTACGACAACTACGAGTCCACCCGCATCTCCGCCGACATCATCGACCCCGACGACCGTACGCTCCTCCACCCCTCTCCCCACTCCCCTCAAAAAACCCCCCACCCCCCACCCCCCATGCTAACCCCCTCTCTCCCCGCCCACAGTAGACATCAACGACCTCGACGACCCCCTCGACAACCCCACCACCCCGCTCAACCCGTCCGCCCTCACCTCCGCCATCCCCGGCGAGGACCGCCGCGCGCCCACAAACACCCTCGACGAGTCCGTGTGGGACACGCTCTCGCGCGACATCCTCGCCGTGTGGGCCAAGATGAAGGCCGTCCTGTACCCCAAGTTCACGTTCAAGCGCTGGCCCGACGCCAACGACGTGCTCGAGTCCGGCGGCAGCGGGGGCAGCAGGGTGCTGGGCGAGTGGGACCTGTGGGGCCCGCTCGTGTTCTGCCTGGCGCTCAGCACGCTGCTGAGTATGGCGGCGGCCGCGGAGCAGAAGACGCAGGTGTTTGCGGGCGTGTTTGCGATGGTGTGGGTTGGGGAGGCGGTGGTGACGGCGCAGATTAAGCTGCTGGGCGGGAACATGTGAGTTGCGCCCACAGACAACAGACATTAGAGTGCTAACATGGGGGGGGGGGTAGTTCGTTTTTCTCATCCGTCTCGATCATCGGGTACACGCTCTTCCCCGTCGTGATCTGCGCGCTGCTGTCGGCGCTGCACGTGCCGTCGGTGGTGCGCGTGCCCGTGTATGCGGCGTGCTTCCTGTGGTCGCTGGCGGCGGGGGTGAGCATTCTCGGCGGCAGCGGGGTCGTGAGGAATCGCGTGGGGCTGGCGGTGTTTCCGTTGGGCGTGTTTTACGGAGGCTTGGTGTGCTTGTGCTTGGTTAGCTAGGGGGTTGTTGGCGTAGAGGGGATAAATGAGGAGGGCGGGGGGCGGAATGATGGGGTGTTTTCTTTTGCTTGTTTCTTTGCTGTTTTGTGGGGTTTTTACTTGTGGCTTTGGGGCGGTAAGGAGGATCGAGGGGCTTGGTGGGCGCTGGTACTAAGGTGCTTGTGGGTTGGGCTGTGGGAAAAATATATATATACATGCTAAGGCGACTGCTTCTCCGCCCTCTATTCCGATGGCTTTGCCCGCTGTAGATTTGAGCAATTTCTATTCAATTTGAAATTGAAATTGAGAATGGGCTGGTAATGATTTGACATCATTGTACCCAGCCTTTAAATTGCGACAGCCGTACCCTTAGAAACAGAACAACGTCGCTTCATATCTGGCGTAGGAGAGCTATTCGGTGGTGTGGTGGAGTTTGGGTGAGATTGGGTTGATTTGGGTTGGTTGTGTGGTTGGTCAACGGGTGGACTAGCGTGGTGCGAGTGATGAGTTGTGATTGCTCACTTCCTTCTTCGCATCCCGTCTTCTCTGCTCTTTCTACTCTTTCCGTTCGTTGGTCACGCTTTCTATCACCAACTCATCTTCATCTCATCACCATCTCCTCACTGCACCGCCTTTATCTACACCCTCGTCTTCCTTGATGTCCGTTTTCTGCTGCGTTCTCCACGCGCCACCCATTACCCACTCCAGCTGCCAATTAAAGCTGCTTTATAGAGCTTCTTGCTTCCTATACTTCCGCCCCACCCTACCACCTCCTCTACGCCCCCTCACTTCTTCCCTATACATACCTTCTTCAACGATACACCGGCTTTATTCCGCCCTAGTAGCTAGCTGATATGATCTCAGCCCCAACCTCATCACCACTTCTATCATCCCCCCACGCGCCTTTTCATCCGTCTCTAGTTCTTTATCGGTGCCTACTCTAGATCTAACTTCACCGCTGTTCATTCCCCTGCGCTTCTTTTGTTCTGTGTGGGTAGTGTCGTCGTTCCGCGCATCCTGTGGCTTGCCGGGCCTCTCGCTTCCGTGTTTGTTCTGTTCTGTTGCCCATTGTGGCCTGTTTCTATACCCCATCTACCGTCCTTCCGGTCCCTATATCTTTCCGGGCGGCGTTACCCGCTTCATCTTGACTTTTCTGTCCCTTGGGTGTCTTTTCATTTCACCGCTGCACACCCCACGGTCCCTGCCTTCGTCGCCGTGTGTCTCACTTGCTCTTCTCTCATTCTACATGTATACCACTGTCTTCCGATGCACCCGCCTTCGTGTTCTTGCCCCAACTCCCACTATGGCCTCTCTCTACCAAGCCTTTCGCTAGACCTCTCACCTTTTATTTCTATTCAAGCGCCTCCCTCACAGTACCATTAGGTTGCCCAATCTCGCCCGCTACTATATCCCCTCCCAACCAACTCCTCCCAGTTTCGTAGGGCCCCCACAGATTTAAGAACGGAGGCGCATAAAAACAGCGGCCCCAACCCACCACCTGTTCAGGGCACGATAGTGAGGGTGCTCCCTCATACTTTCCGCGTAATCGAGCGCACAAGTGTCTCGGGACCTCCTGCACCCGTGGCTATTATAAGGTGGATGTGGATGGGGGGCTCGGTGAGCTCTGGGGTGGGGGGAAGGTTTTGATGTCCTTGGAGGTTTCGTTTTACGCTGGTTTTTGCTATGGGAACTATTGTGCATATTGTGAAGGGGGGGCCGGAATCGATAGTGTTCGGTTGCGCAAAGTATAGCATAATCAATAGTCTAGTCAGGGGATGTTTATATGGAGGTTTTGGCTCTTGGTTTTTTGCATAATCGGAATGTGCGGGAGCGAGACGAGACGGGACTTGGGAAAAACCCTCTTCCCGTCTTGTATCCAACAAAGCGAGTCTTGAAAAAAAACTCGAGATACATAATGGTCAAAGTCTCGAGACTTTTCGTCATGTGAATTTTGGGGGGCTTGAGAGTAGAGTACGTATATTAAAGATACATGTAATTTAGAGGGCCGGAAAGCCATGTTTAACATCTCTCCGGGTATCTATTCTTTCGGGTCTTATTAGCATAATGCTAATGCTCTCGTATAGAAACTGAGTACGACGGCGAGTGACCCGGGTTCGATCACCGGATAAGGCTACATTTTTCTTTTTATCCCTCTTCCTTTTTTTATGTGCTTTCACTGCAATTCTTTCGAGCATCTTTAGATGGGGGAAAGAAAGTTAAAAAGGTCTTCGAGACCTCTAGTAGACCTTGTCTTGTCTCGTCCCATGTGTTAGCCCCTAGGTCTCGTCTTGTTCTGCCAAAAGGTCTCGTGCCCATCACTAGTGCGGCCTTTCTTGGCGAGAGAAATGGTGATCGAGTGATAGGTCATGATCCCTCTATGTGATTCCCAGCTCCCTACTAACCTCGCTCTGGTAACAAAACACGGGTACGTGTGAGGTTAGAAGTAGAATTGTTTGATCTCTTCCAAGGAATGTGGACCGTTAATTGCAAACTTCAGCGTGCCGCAGCGGTTCTTCAGTACTTCTGTGTCTAGGGCACGCGCGTGCTGTGCGTGGTTTCCAGGCTCCGCCGTGCCTACGGATGGTCTTCTCGCCGCGCAGGAACACGAGATCAGTGCCCCCCCTTCCCTTCTGATCGTAGTAGAGCATACAGATCACCGGGGACACCCCAGCTCCGCCGAAAGTGCGAGCCTTACCTGCTGCGTTTCTCGGCAAGAAAGAAATAGTTGTTGTTGTCGAGTGATACGTTATGACCCGTAGCGCATTCACCCTCAACTTCATCTTGCCAAGTAGTAAACACGGTCTAGATACAGTACTTGAACCGCTATATTTTTTTTTTTTTTTTTTTTGGAGACTTCCCTTTAACGGGAGAACTTGGGCTTTGTCATTGAAAAATTTGTACATAACATGTACTCCTCTGATAAGTCTTTCTCATAGTCGAGGAAAAACGTCATACCCCCGTGAATGCGTCTACTGGCTCGGTCGGAACAATCTCGTCCCGGCAATGTCCCTTATTGCTTAGGGCCCGTTTGGCAGTTTAAGTCGTTGCAACTGACTTATCCAAAGGGTCACTTATGTGGAGAGGATAAGTCGCTCTCCAGAAAAGTTTGGTTACCTGCTGTTTGGTAGTTTAGGTTGAGTTGACCGAATGTGGTTGGGTTGGAGGTGATATCGTTGCAACGGAAACAAAAAAGCAGGCTCGAAGCTGCTTTTATATTTCAGTCGATTTATTGAGTTTGGGTGACAAATCTACTGGACCAAATGTGTTGCCAAACAGCCAAAACTTTTTAAAAGTCCAGAATACGCCAAAATCCGACAACTCGACCCTGTTGCCAAACGGGCCCTTAATATACAGTCTCTCGGCTCCACCTCTTTAAAACTCCATAGTGCTGCTTCTGAGCCAGTCGCCTAGAAGCCTGGGTTACCCCTCAACAGCACGCCCCTACCTCTCCTAAGCCCAATAGTCTCCTGGTCCCACTTTTTTTTTTTTTTTTTTGGAACTGGGAACATCTATCTACGGTTTCCCCGCTTCCATTTTAGAGAGACAGGGGTCGGCGAGGCTACGGTTAGGGCGATTCATGGTGGGTTAGGGTTTCTTCTTCCCAACCCCCCCTCTCTTTTTTACACTTCCTCATGCAAGTATTCTATCGAATACCCTTGTGACGCAGTGGTTAGCGTGTCGTTCTTATACTAAGTATTCCAACTTGTATGCAATGCGAAAGCCGTCAGTTCGACCCTGACCTGGGGTATCATTTTTTATTCTCATAGCCTCTGGGCCGCGAGCGGGCGATCGATCAGTCGGTCAATCATGCCTAGCAAGAAAATTGTGACCGAGTGATATTCCATGACCCGCCCCTCAGCGCGTTCCTGATTTCCTAGTTTATTCTTCTAATAGACATGGTTTAGATACAAGTATATGAAATTCTTGATAGACGAGCTTCCGCCTTGCTTGCCATGAGAGTCTTTAATCTATAGGTAAATATTGGCTTTATGGTCGTGGGTTAAGCAGGCGAGTACTTATGAAGTAACGCGTGTTTTATGGTAAAACCATCATACCCATATATGATGACCGCTCGTTCATAGCCTACAGTGACTTTCTCTCACGTTTCCATAAAGACCAAGTTCTAGGTAGTATATCCAATAAATCCGATCTCCGTTTATAGTCTGTAGTGGGTACCGATATAATATAGAACGGATACTATTCATCACCAATGGGCTAGATGAAAGCCCCTAAAATCGCGTAAAGACAGATAGCTGTAATTTCGGCTGCTTATTAGTATGCCGTCCGTAGGATCCGTGCCTTGGAGCAAAGTTAACATGGGGGATATGTAGTGGCTCTGACCCAAGGGGCTGATATTCGTGTGGAGAAGCTTGCAGTGTTGGTGGATATCAAAGACCATAGGGCGCTTGACATCTTTACAAGGAAGTTAAAATGGGCTCATCCCATGCCCGTTAGAGAACGAATGAACTATCAGTCAATAATTAATGCCCACTAGAGAACTAAGAAAAAGTAATCCGAGTGATACTTCGTGAGTCGAACTTACCCAATAAGGATAGAGATAATTTGCGAAAGGATTCCGATACTACATCTGTACAACGGAAAGGTCTTTTACTGAGTGTGATTAACAAAAAAGGCTACCAGGCACGATCGTAAACGGGACGGAGAGCGGAAACACCATATTACTGGAAGGTTAGAACACGGGTAGTCGCCACGAAACCTATTCGATAATTAGTGGACTAAGAAGTCTTTAAATCGTACAAAAGAAACCAGAGACATAAGATACATATTAAGCCCGTTAGACTAATATCACAGCCGTTTCCTGGGACAGGCCGTTGTCGTAGATTTGCCGCGACCTGGGTCGTTCACACGGCTCACTGCTGATAACACATGCACATGGACGTGTTTGCTGAACTAGTTCTTTTGAATCGGCCGTTTCCTCAGCTTCCTGTTCGGATGGCTGGATCCCTTAATCCATATCTCCTGAATAGGACGACGTTGCAAGTTTTTATGCGAACACTTACAGAACGCCACACCTGAGTCAGAATGGATCCTAGGACAGATCGACAGCTGTACCGTTCGGATTCGAGTCCAAGGCCAAAATTTTCAGTATTCTTGTATGAGGGTATTATAGAGCGTCATGCTAATAATGCATGAAGCAGAGAAAACGTGGTTTTCTCCGAGAGATTTCGGGCGGGTTGTGTGCCCGATTGCTGACTGTCGCGGTGGAAAGGCCATATATGTATTAGAGAAGTTTTATCGTGGGTGGGAGACAAAAGCCAGATATGGTAGAAGAGTAACTAGCACATGAATATTCTATGGCTAACTTTATGTGTATATGTGCCTCGGCCCCTGTATCGGTTTCAAGTCTCGTGTTCGTTCTCACTGCGCGATTTGTGTTTGGGGCCGGGTGTAACGTCCCGACTAAACGAGTGATACGCCGTGATTGCAACGGCTTAGTACCACCCCTGGAGTCTCAACTCTACCCTGGAAATGTTTCAGTATTTTGGGCCAGCGAATTTAAAGTTTATTAGTCGTGCGCCGTTTTAGTCGGGTGCTCAAGACTGTTGTTTCCTTCTTACCCTGCGGTTCATGAACGCTTATATAATCCATAGGTCACTTTGAAGTTCTGAATCGTTGCCGCTTCCCCTTGTCATAATCCCTGCTTGGTCAAGCTGATAACAATACTCTTTTTACAAGGTCTTACAATGACACTGTGGTGGAGTGGTTAACACGTTCGCCTGCTATTCTTAGGAAAGTGTATGTGGATGCCTTCGGGCGCGCGAGTTCGAATCTCGTCGGTGTCGTCATAATTTTTTCCTTTCCAGTTACTGGACCCTACAGCTTAATTGCAGGGTCCTCATTCCCTCCCGCGTCTTTTAATGTCTCTCACACCCTCTTTTAGAATCAATAGACTTTTATTTAATTTATCTAGCCCACCACCATCCAATCACATGACCAAATACCATTCGACATCACCAGTAACTCTCCCGTTCGCGGCGCGATTTGATACACCCTCCTCTGCTCTAATCTACCGTGCTGTCTGCCCCCCTCTTCCCCCTGTTATTGCGGACCGCACACAGAACCCAACATGGCAGGTTTAATCCCAACTCGCGGGGTCTCGTGGTTCCCTCACAGTGACCGATGGATGGGACCGGTCAAGGATTCGTGAATCCAGGGAACCAATAGAAGCCTGAAAGCCCTCCCCCATCCCTCCTCCTCCGGCCTCCGTTGTGAATTGCCCACTCCATACCACCACGGATGCTAGCTATCTTTTCCGCCGTGTTTCACATTACCTTTTTCAGGTCCCAGAGGATTTTTTTTACTTTTTTTTTTTTCTTTCAAACTCGAGAGTAGTGTACCACCCACCCCCTTGATCTTCGAGTGATGTTTAGTGATCGGTTGGAGGATGGTGAGCGATGGTGGGTTGCATATCATCTGTGCGAGCTGGGCGGTTCAATGGCGGAATATGACATAGCTGGGGGAGTTACCTAAGGGGACGTCGCATGACCGAGTGCTCGCTAAGACGCGAGCGAGCGAGGTTAATTATGTTTACATATCTTTTGCACACAGACTGTCTGTGGGTGCTGTGCGGTGCGGTGCGATATGTACCTACTCTATGATGGGATGGTGCGGTGCTGGGCACAACGCACAGACAGTGCGTATGTGGGTACTCTACTTTTTTTCTTGATCGCAATCTTAGCCGCCGCCAGAATTTCTTTTTTATCTTTTTTCGACAAAATGTGCCCTTTCGATCCTCCCTTATCGATGTGCTGTGGTGGCTGCGGGCCGGCCGCGGACAAAAAAAAATGTCTTAATTGGCGGAGGAAAAAACCTGGTTTTGGGAATTATTGTCGCGGAGGTCTGTGTGGGGGGGGGAGGATTTGGATTGGAAAGGTTGGGAGTGGGGAGGATACACGCGCTGTCACATGTCGTCTCATATGGGTCTTTTTTTAATCAAGAATCACAATAGTGGGTTTGTGGGATTCTAGTGGATAAGGAGCGGAGATGGTAGATGTGAGTTTTTATTAATTTGGGAGGAGCTACGGGGGGGCGGGACCAGTGGGGGAGATGGGCAAGATACCGAGATGTTTTGAGAGTCGTAAGGCTAGCAGGCGATCATCACTGGGTGCTGGTTGCTGATTGATCGTTGATCAATTGTGCATGATGCTGATCAAACGTGCGCAACCTCACGGTTCGTGAGGTTCGTGATTGAGTGATTGAGCACCATAACCATAATTATATGCTCTACTCGTGGTTCCAAACTTACAGAAAGAGCCTTACTATCTAGGTACTGGTACCATGATGCTGTAGCGGGTGAATACTACCATCCAGGGCCCGGATTGCAGCCGAGTGATATTCTGTGACTGCACATGTAGTTCCCCCTAAGCCGTTATTTTCACCCGTTAGCAAAAACCGTGACTATCAGTGTCAATGGATTGAAGTGTTGGTATCATTTCAAGCCTGCAAACCCCACGAACCCCCTTCCAATACCAATACCCACCGCCAACCGGACCCCCGAAAGCCAAAAAGAACAAAGATGAATCACATAAAAACAGCCAGCCAGCCAAAAGAGTTTGAAGGAATATAAGAACCAGCAAATTACCAACAGCGGTCCAAAAAACAAGGCGCGCGGACCCTTTCAAGAAACGGAGAACGGAGAACGGAGAACGGAGAACTCGAGTGAGAAAAAAAAATATTGAGATAAGAGCAAAGAGGATATTTCATACGACGAACAGAAACCAAAAATGAAAAAAGAATATTAAGAAAAAAAGGCTAATAAACTACAATTGAAGAATTTCCAGGATTAAAAAAAAGAAAAAAAATCGGAAAAGCGTTTAAGAAGGAGCGGTGCATAGGAAAAACACTGAGATAAAAAAAGGTCAATAGAAAATAATCCGCTCACTTCAACAACTCGGTCCAACAAAAAAAAAAGGAGCTTCCCAAATAGACAAAAAATCCCCAAAGGTATAATAATATCCTCATCTGATCTCGCATCTCCTCCACCACCATAACTAGCCATAAAATCCAGCCAAAAAACAGGGAGAAATAATGATAGAAAATAACACTACAAAGGAAAAAAAGTGATAAGTAGTTAAATATGTTGCGTTACGCCCGGCCAAAAAAAGAATTGTCTATACGGTCTCCCAAAAATTTCTCCCCCGAAAAATTCAATATTTCCATATTTTTTTTAAAGATGACTTGTCGCTAGACAGCGACACTTTTTCTGGTGTCAATTGATGACCTAGCAGTCGTGAATCTTTCGCCGAATTCACTGTCCCTGGTCCCCACTCGCCCATTCATCGTAGGACGGGGTAATGGATCCATTGGGTTGTATTCGTTTCTATTCGGCTCTGGGGGGAGTACCCAATTTTCGCCCTGGCCCATTGATTCTTGTGTACCGGCAGTACTAAGCCGAGAAGTCGGTACAGTAGTGGGAGATACCGGACTCTCTAATGCCACATCGGCACTTGCTCCAGGACCTGTTCCAGCACCAAAAGCGGCCTCATGAATACTTGGCCATGCAAACGGTTCGTCTCCAGAAGCCCCGGATTCACTTGGCCCCGGGGAAGCGGTTATGACCTGCAGATCTTCATATGATGAATTAAATTGTGTATTGATCCTGTGAGGTTCGGGATGAGCACGGTCTATAATGCTGCCTTCTGAATGATCCCTTCCATGGCCAGATTCGGAGGGCCGATATAGATGGGTAAATGTTTCACTAGAATGATTGTCTGGCTCTGAAGATGTCTAAGTTGATTTTCACTATGGTAAGCCATCACGACGCATAAAGATTACGGGGAAGTGAGTCTTACCCTTCCATTGAGCAAAAGCCCAGTCACCCCGCTGTTGTATCCGCTTTCACCTGCTTGACCGCCGTGTCTCCCATTGAGAGATACTTCAACAATTCCATCGGCATCAGGCTCCCCAATGACATATCCGTGCCCATTCCCAGTACCAGCACCCTCAATTCCAGCATTATCTTCGTCATGATATCCGTCACCAAGACGGGGTACATAACCATCATTATGCTTTGGGAAAAGTGCGATGATATCCTTCGCAGACATGCGGCCTTGGGGCCGTTCACATAAGCAGGCATCAACAATATTCTTAAAGTACTCTGGCACATCTGCTGGTGCCCCATCCATACCCAGAGGTCTTTGGATCGCTTCGGGCTCATCCATTATGTGCGCAATTCCCCACAACACCATTCCAAGCTGAAATATATCAGATTTCACACCAATATACATTCCAATTCTCTGCAGACCGTCAATCATCGCTGTCACCTCTGGCGGCTCCCATCCTACGGGGCAACCTCGGCGGTTGATGTCGATAATCTTCGCATCGTCGTTTTCGTCTATCACGATATTAGATAGGGTAAAGTCGCCTTGGACATACCCCGCTTCATGGACCTCGGAAAGCCCCGAAACGATTTGTTTTGCCCATTTCTCCCGCAGCCTCCATGGGAGATTTTTTTCGTGGTAAATAATGTCAATGAGAGCCCCCTTTGGCGCAAAGCTGATAAGGAGCCCTTTGACTTTTTGCCGCCTCTCATCCACAATGCAACCTCCAAATCGGATGACATTTTGAGAACCTTTCAATGCGTAAAGAGCGTTGATTTCGTACAGGAATTCGTCGACAGTATCGGGACCGGGGATTTCTTTCTTGATATAAACTTTGTCTTTAATCTTGACCTTATAAACGAACCCGGAAAGATGGGATTCGAATTCCAGCTCCGACTCCTTATATTTCGGGCATCTTAGATGCGCAATGGCGACTACTGGGGGGTACGGGATGATTTCGTGTATATCTTCGGTAACGTGGACATGGAGTCGCCCGCCGCTAGTTTGCAATTTGAGATTTGTGATGGTCTCGTAGAACTGTATCGATGGCAACGATTCCTTGATAGCTTCGTATATCTTCGCACTCTTGTCGCGCTGATATCGCATATCCGCCAACTCTCGCTCCAACGTCCCCTCCGGAGCATCACGGTAGTCGCACGAAACCGTGAGCCTGCGGCGCAGGTTCGGCGTCTCGGCATAAGTGACGAAGAATTTTTCTCGGTCAGATTGATCGCGGAAATGCATGCTGAGGTTCAGGATCCACCGCCAGTCTATTTCCTTATTGATCTCTTCTTGTCGAATCAACTCGCTACTGGTTTTCTCCTCTTCATGGGGTGGCTCGCCATCGCCCGCCGCAGTAAGAAGCTCGTTATGGGTTGCTGATACTGGAGATGTTGTGGTTGCTTCTAGGGCTGGTGCGGTGTACGTTGGCTCGGCTTCCCCTTCCCCCTCTCTGACCGTATCAGGTGACGGTGACGACGATGACGACGTTGTCTCGTTACCATCAGAATTTTCTTCCGTTAAGGTCTTGGGTCGGGAGGGTACATGCTGGCGATTTTCGGGCGGGTGCCTCTGGCCGTTGGGCGTAGTCCTCCTGGGCTCGTTCGGTGATACTTGAACTTCTCTGCGTTCCACCTGCTGCTGCGGGCGCTTCCCCGGCAATAAACTACTACCCCCACCCCGCCTACCAAGGACGTGTTGATGGTCATCTTTGAATGCTAAAAACTTTTTTTTGATTCGCGTGAAGATGTCGGCCTTTTGAGCGCCGGCCGGTCCGTTAGGATGAGCAGATGCCATACCCATGCAGAGGGTCATCTAACCGTAATTGGGGGAAATTTTGTCTGGTCCAAACATCCAACCCCAATTGCCCACCTTGCGATTCTCTTTCTCTCTCTCTCTCTTTCTCAGTTGCTTATTACAGTCCCCTAGATGTTTTTTTGGTTGCTTTTGTGTTGATGTTTAGTTATGATGTTCGTATGAGGAGAATTGGGGGATGGTTCGCGGGCGTTCAGGTGTGGTTGGGATATGATGTGGAACTGTTGGGTGGATATGTGGATGAAGGGCTCAGATGAGTGTTTCCTGTATCGTCTTCGGATGAAAAAGCGATGGCGTAGGCGCGGCGCCACCAACCGGGATGTTCGTACCGGGCGCGAGGAGCAAGCGCCAGGGTGTCTGGTCTGGTCAGACTCACTGATGACGAGATGTGGGAGGAGCGAAGGCTGAAGGAGAAACGAGGGGACGAGGATCAGAAGAATTAAGCTGCAGCTTACGAACTGACTGTAGTAGCGCCGTTAGAAGTTTGGAGCGGAAAAATAGCCCTTTCGTTTTTGGAACACCACTGCGCACAGGGTGTGTTTAATAAGTACCCGTTAATAAAAGGGTTCCCCCGCCCTCAGTTCGTGTTTTTCCGGAGAGACGAGCAGAGTGCCTGTAATCGAGAAGATTTAGTATGAGCATGTATGTATGTAGGCCTGAATGTAAAGGGACGTAAGTGTTATGCGTGCTCAACCAAGGCAGGATGGTAGCATCATCGAAGAGGCTCAGACGAGCCAATGCGGGCTTAGAGGGCTGTGAATGGACGAGGCTGTTCTTGGAAACAACAATATAAAAAAAACCTCCCGTATTTGGGGGGGGAAAAAAAAAAATGAACGACAAGATACGGTACTGGTTCAGACAACGAGCGAGAGGGAGAAGGACGGGGTGAAGGTCAACGAGATTCTCGTTACCGGACGCCGTGTTTCTTTCTTTGCTTTTCCTTTCTTTTCTCGACGGTTTTAACTCAAGCACGCTTTTTTCCAGCGTATGCAAGCTTTCCTCATCGCCTGGCTGAAGGCCCAATTATAGAGGGTTTTCTCTGCAGAGTGAGCTGGCACGCTCAAAATCCTTACAAGCCGTGAACGAACTGAGCTCTCGTCCAGTAAGTCGAATAGGTAGGTAGAGGTAAGGTAGAGATAAATGTAGAGCGGTGGGTAAGGTAAAGTAAGGTAGGAAAAGTTAGAAAGGGTATCTTCCGTTTATCGATTTCAATTATTATTATGTTTTTTTTCTCTGGTTGTTTGAGAAGAATTGTGTGCCTTTAAGAATTGCTTCCTTTTCTTCTTCTTCTGGTACCAAGAAATGCTTCCCTACATAAAATCCGCCATCGTTCAGCCTGTATCCCCCCTCCTACACTGGGAACAATTTTTTTCTCCTTTCCCCTTTCTCTCTTTCTTAATATATTATTATTTAGTTTTTGTTTTTTTCATTTCCCGCTATATAAATGCCTCTGCCACCTTTATTTGGTAGCGACAGAGGGTTGCAGTGCTGTCAAACCATGATGTGTGTTTATGAATGTTGACAAGCCCGTTCGGGATGGGGGTAGGTACAGTATGTCTGACTGAATGAATTGAAGAACCACCGGTGCGGTGGGGTGCGGTGGTGGTGTGGTTGCGTGTGGGTGCCAATTGTGGTGGTGGTGGAGGTGGTGATGTCGGTGCCAGTAGTAGTCAGAGTTACGAAACTCTCACTCACTTGGAAATAGAGTGAGTGTGTTCAAAAGTGAGCAGTGTGTAGCACATACTTACTGGTAAGTTGAGCTTCCAGAAAAGCCGAGCTTTTTTCTCATGCAGCCGACGGGTTGAGAATAACCCATTCCCTTACTGCATGAACACATGCGTTCGGATGCAGTGCTGGCACCAATAAAAACCGTTCTGGGCTCTCCCCAGCATCACCCCGCAGGCACCACAGACGCGCCCGCCGGCGTAGTTACCGGTCTGTAGGAAGAGTACATTACTGTATAGGTATGATAGATAACCTTGTTGACAACCCCTCCTCCATCAGTTCGAGCTGAAGGGCAGCAATGGGTTTCTGATAGTCAATCTTTGCCCCTCTAGGGAGGTATCTCTGTGGAAGGTCTTTTCCACCTCATCCTTCTTCTTCGGTATGTCTATGTTTCCCCAATCCCTGAAGGGGTGGGATTGATTCTGGTTCCATCGTGTGTCACCCTATTTCATCATCTATCAAACACCAAACGAGGGGATCGGCCAGCCAACCACCAACGGATAAGATTGTTTTAACATACGGGGACGGGATGGAAGGTGGGAAGGTAAGGTAGGTAAGTGCTGTAGTGGGAAAAAAAATTGTGTTGACGTGTTCCTGGCCGTCGAGGTAGAGTAGATAAAAAAAAAAGGTTGTGGGAAGTCCCATATGTGTACGGGTACACTACAGTCCTGTATCCTGTATGTACCAGTTACAAGGATAAACAAAAAGGAAGATGTTCCTGATGTGTGTGATGTGATGTGATGTGATGTGATGTTAGATTTGCCTTGTTAGGGATAGCCTACTTTTCATAGGCGAGTTAGAAAAACGCACTTGGGCCTAGTCTGAGGGGCAGCTAGACATTGAGGCTCAACTAATTCTTAGCAGAGCGGGGATCAGGTGCGCTCGCGTGTTTTGCTTCCCCGAGCTAGTTAACCCTGATGTGCTAACTTGGTGGGAAAAAAAAACCTTGACCTGTCTTTGTCTTGTCTTGTGTCCCCTCGCACAGCAGTAGTCTGTTCGCTGCTGCTAGTGCTACTACTGCTCGTATGGGCAATTAAGGTAAATAATCATCATAATAGACGGGAAAAAATAAAATAAAAACGAGATGCTTCTGCTGGCATCGAGGCACAGCCAAAATGCAACGTCAACAGGATGTCAATCAACAACACAGCGGACAACGAAACAATCGAGATTTAAACAGACATAAAACGGCCCACCATAAGGCGGAGTCCAGGGGAAGAAGGAGAGGGGAAAAAAGCAGCAATGTCTCGGTTCTCAGTGCCGCCGCCCCGAAAGCCCTTTCTCCTCTGCTCCAGCTCTATCATCTTCTACGGTAGGTATATGAGGATGCTCTACTCTAGCTAGGTAGCTTTCATCATGCCCTTCCGCAATTGCCAAGAAATGTACTAAGGGTAGTCGATATAAAATCCCGGAACTAGAGAAGAGGTACAGCATCACACTAAGGCAGGTGGGTGTAGCTGTAGCTAGAGTACTCTAGTAGCAAGCGCTCGCTCGTTCACTCGGAGAGAATGCAGCTGCAAGCAAGAGTACCCTACAGAGTAAGACCAACAAGCAGGTCTCGGAACAAATCCACAACGTGGGGAGGTGAGAGGAGACGAGAGGAGGAACATCAGCATCATCACCACCATCATCCCCAAACACCTTACTCTAGCTAGTAGCTACATACCTAGAGCTCGACATCCACACATACGCCCCCACCCCAAACCGTAGAGCTACCGCCCCACCTCCCCGGTACCTATTTTGCTAGTTCACCACACCTTTTTGATCTCACGACGAGTCTCGTTTTCTACTTACCAGGTACTGCACATGCCATAATCGCCGTCCTGCCCAATTGACGGTGTTTCCTGTTACCCATTACCATACATAAAGCACACAGTTGCCAACGAACATGTGCCATCTAAACACTTGACACATCCATCGTAGGATGTAGGCCGGTAGGCCATCACTTAGGTACATACATACACACATCTATCTAGGCCATGATACTGATCAAATCTACAACATGTGCCAGTCGTAACAATCAGCCCACCCAGCCAGCCAGTGACCGTCCCAACTCAACCTATCGGTCTCTCGGTACATAGTAAGAAAGTACTACCGTCGCAAAAATACTAAACCTTTGAGATACAAGGGTAAGATGTGTGTAGTATAGTGGGTACATGTACATAGTAGTACATGTAGTACCTACTCTGCCTAGAGTACATGTACTTAACTTGTGGTCCACAGGGTAGTACTACATGTAGCTTGCACCTATAGCGGCGCCGTACTTAAGCCTGTCCACGCGATATGTATCCTACCACTACAATACAGTGCATCGGTACTTTGCAGATCCAAGCGAAGAGATCGTGGGGTTATCGTGGGGTGTATAGTAGGTTGGGAGGTAGAGTATATATGGAGGTACTTACCTTCCTGGGCGTCATAAACTTTAATCAGATCAGAACGGTTACATAGGGTACATTATGTGTATATACTTCTTGTATGATGTAGGCACATGTAGGTAACCTCAGTCACTCAGAGACTAACGTCCTCTCTCCCAGTTACAGTTACATATTCCGTCTCGACTTATACAGTAGATACACATGTGGGACAGGTATTCCGGGAGTACCCTACAATAAACGGGATCGTATATCTGGGGTGTACAAGCCAAACAAGTAAACTGTACATTGAAGTAACACACCAGGCCATCCCTGCCTGCCACTAAAGCTCAACTGCAACCACTGTACTCTAGACTCATCATAGATAAAACGTCCCTGATGATCCACCTCCCAAGCCCTTCCCTTCCCTTCGATCCCCACAATGATATTATAGTTTTATTTTATTTTATGGAGACGCCCGCTTACCTACCTACTTACCTCCCTGCCTATCTGCTGGGACTCAAAAATACACGGGATGGATCGCCCAACCAACGAACGTGGTCTTTATCAGCTGGCCTCCCCCCCCTCCCTCCTCCGTCGTCATCAGCACCACAACTATCACGATGAATGATGTGCTGTCCGTCTCAGATAAGTATACTGCATCCGAATTCGATGGCACAACACCAGATGAAAGACGAACAGCAGTGAAGGGCATACAACAGCTCAGTCGGTTTTGATACTGCATCCCGTTCGTGGGAGTGGATGACGATGCTGATGACGATGCCTCTCGTGGTGTGTCGGGGGATATACTACTTCCCTATATCCATACATACATGATTTATGCACTGCCTTAGACATACAGTGCAGAACGAGAGAGGAGGAAACTCAGTGTAAGGCATGGGAGAAAGAGAG